GGGTTGAATGGTGGCCTCCCCAAAAGATACGTCACGCCCAAATCCCTGGAACCTGTGAATGTTACTTTATTCGTAAAAAGGTAAAGATTTGCAGATGTAACTAAATTAAGAATCTGATAATCAGATCATCTTGGATTATCCGAGAGCACCCTAAATCCAATGACAATGTCCTTGTAAGAGACAGAAGAGGAGAAGCTACAGAAGAAGAGAAAGCCATGTGAAGACGGAGCCAGAGATGGGAGTGATGTGGCCACAAGCCAAGGAAGCCAGGAAGGCAGACAGTTACCAGGAACTGGGAGAGGAAAAGAAGGATTATCTCTTAGAGTCTCCAGAGGGAGTGCGGCCCCGTCAACACCTTGATTTCCAATATGTAGGCTCCTGAACTGTGAGAGAATACATTTCTGTTATTTTAAGCCACACAGATTGTGATAATGCATTACAGCAGCCCCAGTAAATTAATACACCTCGTTGTTCTGAGTCCTCTCCACAGCTAATTCTTTGCTAGGGGTGAACAGGACACAGCCCTGGCCCTCCTGGAGCCTGTGTTCTAGTTGAGAGGGCCACACAAAAATGTACACGTCCATAAGTTATTTCTAATAGTTGAATGTTAGGTGCTGTGAAAGTTAAGCTCCAGAATTGTATATCCAATCGCCCACTTGACATCTCTACTTAAATGTCTATCGGGTATCTCAAACATAACTTTCCTCAAATAGAAGTGCCTGGAGGTGCCTGGAGGCAGGAAACTGATAGATCCAAGATGGTCAGGAAAAGCCTCAGGGAGGAGGTGACACAGGCAGGAATAATGAGGATGAGCTAAGGCAGTGACTGAAGGAAGAAGGTGCTCCTTTTCGTTTTGTTTCAGCAAGGAAAAGAGCCAGTAGAGACAAAGCAAGGAAGAGGATGAGGATGCAAGGGAGAGGGTAACAGACGCAGTAAGGCTCCAGGGGAGGCAGTGATGTGGGGCTAAGGTGAGAAAGCAGCACAAGGATCGGGGCTCTGAAGGGAAACAGTAAGCAGAGCAGGGGCTCAACGACGCTGACTCCAGACTAAAACTGTCTGAGTTTGAATCCTGGCTCTGCCACGTACAGTTATAGGAAATTACCTTATCTGGATCTTGATTTCCTCAACTATAAAATAAGGATAATAACAGCACCTACCTCACAGGAATTTGTTAGGAGAATTGAATATAATAGTCTGTGTAAAGTACTTGGCTCAACGTCTGGCACAGGGTATGCAACGAATGTCATTATTGCTATTAAGATTATGAGAAGTAGCATCAAGATAAGACTCAGAATGTGAGCAGTGGAAGGAACTTCAGAATCATTGAGTGTAATTCCCTCACTGTACAAATGAAGAAACCGAGGCCCAGAGGGTTTGCAAATTGGCCAACTTTAAAGAGATACTTAGGGGCAGAGCCAAGACCAGGTTAATCGAAAGTCTGTGCTTTTTCTACGTGGGCTTAACATATAGATTTGAGAATCATAAGAATATAGGTGGTGGGGAACCAGTCCAGTAGCTCAGCGGTTAAGTTCACACGTTCCGCTTCGGAGGCCCAGGGTTTGCCGGGAAAATAGACAAAGTTACTCAGGTAGAACCCAGAGAATGTGGAAAGAAGAAATGGAAGGAAGAGCTAGGAAGGAAGACTCGGAGGTGCGTCAGGGAGGAAGAAAACCTAGAAAAGAGCAATAGCTGTATAAGCTAAGAGGGAGAGTTCAAAGGGAGAAAATGGTCAACTGGGTCAAATACTCCATAGAGTTGAGGAAAGATGCAAAATGCTAGCGCAAAATGCTAGATTTGAAGTCAACTTGCTTGGAGCATCATTTCCACAAGACACTAAACTCTGGAACATGGGTTTCCCATATAGAAAATCAGGATATGCATGGAAAATCTGCTGACTCCTTTAACAAGTTTAAACCTGTACCTTGTCAGGCTGGCAATAGAGGGAGGCTTCCCACTTGAGGAGGGTAGCTGGACCTTACCCCAGACCCTGAAATTAACCTTACTCTTGGGGTGTCTCTCACACTAGTGTCTGCTGCAGCCACAACCAGCAGACTGGCCTTTGGGGGACAAGACGTGGATTTTACAATTCCTCTCATTGCCATAGTATGGCTGAGACAGGTTATAATATTTAAGCAAGACACTGCTAAAGGTGGGACCCTGAATGTTGGGGCTGGTCATGGAACTCTCTTCTCTTTCTAGATTCACCCCATAGATAAATTCATCTAATCCCGTAGCTTTAAAATACCATCTAAGTGTCCAAGACTCTCAAATTTCTCTCTCTGGCTCTGACTTCACCTCTGAGCTCCAGACTTACATGTCCAATTGCCTACTCTAGATCACTACTTAGATGTCGAATGGTCATCTCAAACTTAATCTCTCTAAAAGAGCACACTTGACTTTCTAGCCCCAAACCAGATCTTACCTCAATATTCCCAATCTTGGTAAATTTATTTCCACCCACCAGCACATTCTCTAGGTTCTACCTCCAGAACATTTTCCAAATCTCAGTCCTTCTCTACACCTGATACCTTGCTGATCCAGCTGCCACCGTCTCTTACCTGGCCCTCTATGGTAGTCTCCCAATCAGATTTTCTGCTTCTACTTCGCCATCCCCTACAATTTATTACACACAGCAGCCAGATGATCTCTTTACTACATAAATCACATGTTACTCTCTTGACTGTAATCCTCCAATGGCTTCCCATCGCACTTAGATTAAAACCCAAACCCCATCAGGCCTTACGAGATCCAGACCCTGCTCACTGTTTTGATTTCTCACTCCACACTTCCTTTTCTCACCTACGTGCCAGCTTAGCCCCGGGTTTTCTTACTATTCCTCAAACACACCATGCTCATTTCTGATGTAACGTTAGCTATTCCCTCTATCTGGAATGCTTCCCCATCCTGCTCCCTCTCCTCTGTCTTCACATGGCTGTCTCCTCCTTAGAATTGAGGTCTCCGCTTACTGCTCTCTTCTGAGAGGCCTTCCCTGTCCATCCTTGCTGGGGTAGCTCTTCACTCAGTCTCCATCCTATCAGTCACCTTTTGTATTTGATCGCTTATCATGAGTGATATTGTCTTGTTTACTTTTATGGTTATTGTCTATCTCTTCCCCACTGGAATGTAAGTTTCCTGAAAAAAGAGATTTTGTCTGTTCCATTTACCACTGTGTTCCCAGCCTCAGAAAAGTGCACACACATGGTAGGCCCTCAATAAATACTGACAAACAAATAAATAAAGGCTCAGGACAGAAGAGAAATGAAGGTGGAGAGACCTTTATCCTTAGATTATCTGGCTTGTAAACTAGAGCCCTCAACTTCAGCATTCAGCACTTCAACACAGCTACTTCAGTGTGCCCTGAGGAGTACCCAGACTCGTAGACATCCAAACCTGAGTGAGTGAGAGAGAGAGAGAGACATCGAGACAAGAAGGAAGAGGAGGCAGAAAGAGAGAGTGGGGGAGCACCCTGGTTTTCTCTCCTGCCTTTCTATGGTCCACCTGGAGATGGACTCACCTGCCTGAATGATTGACATGGGGCAGTTTCACCTTCTTAGGTGAAGATGGCACTCTACATCCACACTAGAGGTTTGCACCAAGGGCAAAGAATAAGCACATCAGATACATCCTGCAAGAAATACGTACATATTAACAGCAAGGAGAGCTACTTTCTGCAAGGTAATGATCTCTGTTTTCTGCACTTCCCATACTTGTTCTGAGGATCAGATAAAGGAGAGTGATCTGGAATGTGTCACACGTGTGTAAGTCACTAGATTATACTGTTTGCTGAGCGTATCTGTTGACGAGGAGCAGAGCAGAAACTCCTGGCAAAATGCCATCTGTGTTACTCATGCCACAATACTAAGGATTTACGTAGATGATTCTTGGTTCCTTCCCAACCCAGATGACTTGAGTATCCTTGTGTAAGAGTCATTCAACACCCCCTCTCACAGTTCCATGATGTTATCTCCCCCAACGCCTTTCACTTCCACTGTGCTTCAGTCACATGGTCACATTCTGAATCTTGTCATCACCTCCAAACCACTCCACTTTGGGAATCTTAAGCCCCAGGACTAAAGAATATGTGATGTTCTGCTCACAATATCCTAACTTTCTAGCTCTATATTCACTCACTCCCATTGTACCTGCTTTTCAACCCCACCAAAGCTTCCTCAAACCTTTTCTCCTGACCTCTTAGGCCCCTAATTAATGCAGTAGCCACTTTTCTTCTTTCTGTTCTCAATGGGAAGGGTGGCTCTCCCCTGTCCCGTCCCTGGGAATCTCTCTCCCTGAACTCTGGACTCCAGACCCACTGCCAAGCCCTGTTTCATCAATTATTTACTCTCTCCTCTAGGTCTTCAACTTATCCTTTCCTGGCTTTTTTCCCTCAGCACATAGACAAGATCATATCTCTTCTAACAACTACTAAAAAAAAAAAAAAAAAAAAATCTTAGGTTACATGATCTGATATTCTCCTTATCTAGAATTCTCTCTTCTTCTTCCTTCCATGGTCCAGTCTTTCTCACCCTATTCTAACGCCACTCATTCCTCACCCCTCTGTAACCTGACTTCTGTCCCCACCACTCTTCTGACACAGCTCCAGACCAGGCCCCAGTGACCTCAAAGGCTATGGTCATATGTCACTTCTCATCTAACTTGGCATCATTTCTAGAAAGCTGTTCCTCCTTCTGCCTCTGTGCTTCTGTGATACCCGCTCAGCGGTGTTCCTCTTCCCGCTCCGGCCACTCCTTCTAAGTCTCCCTAACAGGTTTCTTTTCCTCTTTCTCTTTGGTAAATGTGGATCCACCCTCTACCCCTTCCCTTACCACTGCCTGTATATCTTTTTGTTGTTGTTGTTTTTGAGGAAGATTCACCCTGAGCTAACATCTGCGCCAATCTTCTTCTATTTTGCATGTGGGTCACTGCCACAGTGTAGCTGCAAACGAGCGGTGTAGGTCCACACCCGGGTACTGAACTTGGGCCACTGAAGCAGAGCGTGCCAAACTTAACCAATAAGCCACAAGGCCAGCCCCTGTATATCTCTTTCTAAGCAATTTTATCATTGCCAGTGGCGTAAATGATCATTTATATATGCTAATGTCACACATTCTTGGAGCCTCAAACCTATATTGCCTTCTAGATATTTCTGTTTTTGTGGCCCATAGGCACCTCATACTTAATATGGCCCAGACTGAATTTATCATCTTTCCCATTTCCAACACTGACGTTTTATTCTATATTTTCTGTCCATGAGGATGGTAACAACAATCCATCCGGTGACTCAGGCTAGATGCTTGAGAGAAGCCAAGCTTGATCCTCACCCCACGCTCCTCTGGCTCCAAACCCAGTCTAATTTGCCCACTAAATATCTCTTCAGTACATCTGTTCATCTCCCTTTTCTGACACTGCTGAACTCAGACTTTTTGCATCCCTTTTCTGGATCATCTCACCCCTTCTGGACTGTTCTCCCTGCTGGCGGCTTCATCTCCCCACTCCACCTAAAGACTTGATATTTTTTCTTTGCCATTGTTATTCATTTATGTCTGCTTTTCTTTAGCGTCCTTTTCAAACTAAAAAGTAATATACTCTCATTGTAAAATAGCCAAAGAGTTTATAAAACTAAAAAGTAGAAGTTAAAGCCACCCCTGACCCAGTCCACAAATTTTACTCCCAAGCACACAAACACACTTTTTTTTTCTAAAAGTAGGATCTTATTAAACATGACGTATTTCTTCTACTTTAAGAGGCACTTTTTTTTCACATTTTAACACTTCTGAAACCTAAATGTATCCTACAATCAGTGGTGTCTCAGCTTTGGTTTAATACACTATTGTTCTGCAATGCGCTCTTTCTACTCATTAACGTGGTTCAGGATTACAAGCCAGCACTTACCTCTAGGATGATCTTTCCAAAGTACAAATGTGGTCAGGTCACTACCCTCCCAAAAGTCCTTCAAAGGCTCCCCTCTCCACTTCCTTCCCTGATCCAGGCCCTTCATCTTCTGACTCCCTGCTACTTTTGCAGTCTCATTTCCAGCACATCCCCACCCATCTTCTTCCTTAAAGACAACTAGATTTACAGTTAGTTCCCCAAATGCGCTATGCTGAGCCAGAGGGTGCTTTTCTCCTCTAACTCTTCCTCAGCTCCTCTACTCAAAGTCGCATCTTACTGGAGAATTGTCCCAATCCCCCAAGGTGAGCCTGCGCTCTTCCTTCGTGTACCACCCATCAACTTCCCCAGCATCTGTGCACTTCTTGGTTCAATCACTTAACACACGGTTTCAAGCCATTTCTCTTGTCTGTTGCCCCCAATAAATAGTGAGTTCTCGAGCATGCCATCTTCTTTATACCCATTTCCAGTAGTGCCAGGGCAACACAGGAGGTCCATAAATATTTTTGTAAACAAGGAACTGTGCACAAGGAAGGATGCCAAATGCTCCCTGAGTCCAGGCGAAGAGCATTCTAATTAACTGTCCTCTTAACCTGGGATAAGTGCTAGAAAAAGGAGGCCAGAAGCTCTAGATAACTACCTGCACCCCCTGAAATCTAAAGCAATTGGATTTTTTCTTCTGTTTCCTTGGTTTCTAGTCCTCCAGACCTACTAATTCCAGCCTCAACCCTCAAAGACAATCCGATTTCAACAAGCACAGCCTTGATGACGGTTTCCTTTCTCCCTAGTCCTTTTCAGTGCTCCAAGTCCAAACCTCCATCTATATCATCACGCCCTCTTGCCGCAAGTCCTCTATTTCGTAACCAGGAGTTTTGAAAAGTACCGAAGGGGGATTCTTTCCACTTCCTTCTCTAAAACGCCCACTTGAGTTTCCCATTTGAACTCCCTCCTGCCCTAGGTGTGGACACACCTCTCAGAGCCACCAAGACTCAACACCAGGAAATAAACACAAAAGGAAGCTTTAGTTTAACACAAAACCTTTATTTTAGTAACTACCCTAAAGGCTTGAAGTTAATTTAGAGATCTCTGTGGAAGCCATTATCCCCTCTCAACCCAGTGGTGGGGTTGGATTCTAGAAAATGCCAAAAATAGACAAAAATGTTTCCCAGTTCTTCTTTCTGACGTAGATCATTTAAAGCCAAGGATTCTGAATCATTTATGGAAAAGTACCAGGGTATGTGGGGGATTTAAAATAAAGCTCAGCTAATGTGGCCTATGTGGCAGTCGCTAAGATTGGTCCATGCCAAAACATGCTGACAACTGTAGGGCCAACATACTTTCAATACCCTCTCATTGCAAAAAGGACAGGAACTCATGAAACAACCAGAAATAGTAAAGAAAAAAAAGAAAAAGTGGAAAGATGCGGGAAAGACAGGAAAGGAGAGGGCAGATGACAGGACAGGAGAAAATAGAGACTTTATAATAGGAAATATAGCTGACAGAGGCTTTCAAAAACTAGGCCTATTTTGTCACAGTTTGGGCTAAACAATCACCTCACAACTGAAAGAAGACAGCTAAAGAAAGGAATGGGGGAGGGCCTGGAGCCAGATAGATAAATAGATAAACCAATGAAAAGTATCTTGGGGAAGGAAAAAGGACTGATAAGGAAACAGGATCTCAACTCAAAGACCAGAGAATTATTAAAGAAAGGGCAGGATCAATGTGTGGACAGATGAGATGAAGGGGGAAGGCAGCTGTCAAAAATGTGCTGTGATTCTGCCGTTCAGAAGGCAGGTGAAAAAGACAACTCCAGGCTGCAACTGGACTGGGAATTAGGAAGCTCTCAGCCCCTCAGGAGAGAATGAGCGACCCGCGGCCGTTCTAACGGTCGGAGCAGTGTGGTCAGAGCAGGCCAGCCTGGAATATGCTCACCATTTTAACGTGTGGAGGAAACCTTACATTCGGAGAGAAAAGACAACTTCACCACTTAGCCTGCACAGAAGAGACTGTACAAATCTGTTCACAAATTTTAGAGTAAATAAGAACAAAGTAACACTAGGCGCGAAATACCTGAACTGAACAAATATCAAACTCTGATTTTTCCTGCACCCTAGCATGAGACTGTTAGGAAGGAAAAAGGCCGGAACCAACCTGCAACCTTCAGAGAGATTTCTTTTTCTGGACAGAATTCGGTGTGTTTGCACCCCTGGGAGTCGGTGCAGGAGGAGCCGCCCTGGCAGGATCTTCAGATCAAGAGAGGCTTGTTTTGGATGCAGAATGAGTTTCCCCGACCTCAATACCACCTCAGGGGATCTGAAATCACTACCCCACAGCGTTAATAAAGGCATCTTTTGGAGAGACCGCAGGATGCCGGTTAATTTGCACTTTCTTCTCCACCTATCCACTTCAGCCACAACTTAAGCAGCGAAAGGAGAGGGCAGGAGCAGATCTTCTATTGCTTTCGTTTCCTATGTGGCCGAGACCCAAAGAAGCGGGCCGATCGCCTACCTGCCTTCCGTTTCCCCGGCCAGGAGCGGCCGCGCGTCCTGCAGAGCGTTCGCTGCCGCCTCCCGCTTGCCCGCAACCTCACCTACAGACGCTCTCTGTGGTTCAGACCAGCCTGACTCATCTGGGATGGGTGGCATGGGTGGGGGAGACCTCAGAGGGCGGAGGGACAGGAGGAGGCGGGCCGGGCCCTTCCCCCAGAGCCAGGGAGGAGGCGTCGCCAGGGCGCAGGTGAAACCGACTCCGACCTATCCCGGGAACTTTCGCGGCCGGGACTAGCTGCTAGAGGCCCGCGTCGCGCAGGGGCGGTTTGGGAGCCGCCCTTTCCCACCCCGGCTGTGCGCAGGGGCTCAGCCCGGGGCGTCTGCCCGGGGTCCCGCGGCCCTCTCGGTGCGATCGGGGGCTGCAAGCAGCGCTGGCTTCTGCGGCTGATGGAGGCGGGTGGCTCCGCCTCGGGCGCAGGTGACACACACCAGGCCAGGGTTTCTGCTGGCCGGCGAGAGCGCAGGGAGGGCGAGACGCAGACACCCCGGGGGCAGGGGACGACAAGGCAGCGATGGCCCGAGAGTTGAGCCAGGAGGCACTACTGGACTTTCTGTGTCAGGCCGGGGGCCGAGTAACCAACGCCGCCTTGCTGAGCCACTTCAAGAGCTTCCTCCGAGACCCCGACGCGCCCCCCGGCCAGCAGCAGCGCCGCCGCGAGCTCTTCAAGGGCTTCGTCAACTCAGTCGCCGCAGTGCGCCAGGACCCCGACGGCACCAAGTACGTCGTGCTCAAGAGGAGGTACAGGGACCTTTTGGGGGAGGAGGGACTGCAGCGACCCCGCGACCCGCCCGCAGCCGCCGCCCCTGCAGGGGGAGCGGCGCCCTGCTCCCCGCGAGGCGCGCGCCGGGGGGAGCCGCCGCCGCAGCAGCCCAGGCGGCGGCGGCGAGAGAAGGAACCGGAGGAGGAGCCAGCAGGTGCCGCAGCCCCGGCCGCGGCCGCAGGTTGCGATGGACTCCCGGCCAGCGGCGCCCGGGAGGCGTCCCGGGGAGGCGGCGGGCGGAGGGGCAGCCCCGGCCCCAGAGCGCCAGTGCCCGCGGCGGCGGCGACAGTGACCCAGGCCGGCGCGAGGTGCGCGGCTGCGGAGACGCAGGGCCGCTGCTGCTGGGAATGCCTCCAGAACGGCCTGGAGGGACTGCCGGGCGAGCCGCTGCCTGGCGCCCCCTCGGACCCCGCCGCCGCCAGGGAGAAGCAGGCGCGGGCTCCGCCTGCCCAGGCTGACCGCGGGGCTCCCAGGCAGCGGCGGGAGGGCGTGCCTGCTGAGCCCGCGCGGGTGCCCGCAGCGCCGCGCTCGCCTGCTGCAGCCGTCGAGGGTGCCGCCAGCGGGGCGTCCCCGTCTGCTCCCCCGTCCCGCCTCACTCCCCCCGAAGACCCGCCGGAGCTGGGGACGCCGAGCTCTCTGCGTTATTCGACCCTGCAGCAGCAGCAGCAGCGCACTCGAGAATGGGTGGCCAGACACCCCCAGATTCCAGAAGCCCGGAATCAGGGCCCCATCCGAGCCTGGTCGGTGCTGCCGGACAACTTCCCTCAGCTAACCTCGGAGCTGGGCTTGTGGGTCCCGGAACCTAATTCAGCGCCGCCGGAGCCCCCTCTTTCCTCGCCTTCTCTCTTTCCTGCTGCCGCGGAATCCTGGCCCGGGAACTCCCCGTTGACAATCTTTCGCAGCATTCGTTGTCAGCTGTCCCTCCAAGATCTGGATGGCTTTGTGGACCAGGAGAGCCACAGCAGTGAGGAGAGCAGCGCTGGGCCCAAAGACTCCCCTGGAGGTTCTGAAGAGGGGCTGCAGGTTGCCCTGAGAACCCCCGATTGGGGAAAGCTCAGGAATCCAGCCGGGGGCCTGTCTCCAAAGGAGGGCAACCCCAGTAGGAGCCCTCAGGGCCTCAGAAACAGAGAGGCTGGCCACACCTCTGAGCAGGTCCCAACAGGGGCCAATGGCCTTGCAGGCCACCCCCAAGAGCCTCTGCCTTGGCCAGCTCCCAAGATAAGGAGATCCCTCAGGAGGAGCTCCAGGGCAGGGAGAGCCAAATTGTCCTCCTCGGATGAGGAGTGTCTTGAGGAGGACTTGCTGAAAAGGAGTCGGCGCCCGCCACGGTCCAGGAAGCCCTCCAAGGCAGGAGCCGTGTCCAGCCCAAGGGTGGATGCCGCTCTCATGCTAAAACCTGCAGATATTAAGGTTGCTCTTGCTGAGCGGGGTCGGCCACACAGCTCATGGGCCCCGGATGGGGAGGGACCTGCAGCCTTGGTCCCGCATAGACCTTCTGAGCACAAGTCATCCCTGGTGCCCCTAGATGCCAGGGAGCATGAATGGATTGTGAAGCTTGCCAGTGGCTCTTGGATTCAGGTGTTGACTTTATTCTGGGAGGACCCCCAGCTGGCTTTGCACAAAGACTTCTTGACTGGATACACTGCCTTGCACTGGATAGCCAAACATGGTGACCTCAGGGCCCTTCAGGACTTGGTTTCGGGTGCACAGAAAGCAGGGATTGCTCTTGATGTAAATGTGAAGTCCGGTTGTGGGTATACCCCTCTGCACCTTGCAGCCATTCACGGCCACCAGGCAATCATCAAACTGCTAGTGGAAAGGTTGGCTTCTAGGGTGAATATCCGAGACAGCAGTGGGAAGAAGCCATGGCAGTATCTGACCAGTAATACCTCTGGGGAAATATGGCAGCTGTTGGGAGCCCCTCGGGGCAAGCCCATTTTTCCTGTCTATCCCTTAGTCCGAAGCTCTTCCCCCACCAGGAAGGCGAAGAGCAGGGAAATATCTAGAAATGTCACCCGAAAGACTTCCTTAGCTGCGCTACTCAAAAGTCAGCACAGCAAATGGAAATCTGCCAACCAGTATGAGAAATTCGCCACTCCGAGGGAAAGGGAAGAGTACAGTGACTGAGGTGGGCCCCTCTCTCCAACCTGCAGCCACCACGCCCCCATCCTTGAGCTCTTCAGTGAGAGAATTCAAGGGGAATAGAAAAATGACTGAGGAGTTGGTAAGGGGAGAGGTCGAGTGAGATGTCTAGCTAGTGTTTACCTCCCTGGATTTTATGTCAGCACGTCCCGGCCCTCAGAGGTCATCCAAGCTTTCTGACAGCTCTAGTCCTTGGGCCGGTGAAACCTAGACGAGAGACAGAGACAGGTGCTTCAAACCCAGCAGGTGTTCTTCCTCTCCCCTTGCCGCCACGATCCGATCCGGGCACAGTAAGCCACATTGTTTTCTGAAGCAGCCATCCCAGACCTTGGCTAGAGAGGGAACAGATGTCTAACAAGAAGGGAGGCAATTCGAGGAATTGACAGAGCTCAAATGAAATCCTCTCTGGCTAGTAGCTCTCTGGCTTCTGTTCATTTGGAGAATGAATCTTGGCTGAGAGTGGAAAGCACCAGGTTTGAAATCAGATGGCTCCTCTTCATTTCTTTCTCTTTCTTTTCTGGCATTCAAATCAGTGAAATAGAATTTTTACTGGAGAGTAGAAGTTAATTTAGCCCTGTCCTCGGGTCTTCCTTTGAAGGCAACCTATGGTGGCTGAGGCGTGAAATGATTAGTGCCTCATCTGGGTCTCTTCTTCACCATCAGAGAAGCTATTGGGTAAGATCCAGTTATGACTGACAATCAGGCCCTGCTTTTTAAAAATCACCCTAAGGGGAACTTTGTCCAAATGTAAGAATTATGTGGCTCATTTGCATGGTGACTGAAACCATCTTTCACAGAAACGCCCTGGGTAACAAAGAGCAGAATTAGCATCAGTAGTCTTCAATAGCTTTGAATGACCAATGTTCATACTCGTGAAAAGAGAGAAATGATTTTGCTCTGGGGAAGCAGTAAGGGTTAAGAGGTGAAGGCCTCCCCACCAGGAATTTTCTAAGCTGCTAAATATAATTTTGTTTGCACTAAACGTGTTGCCAATTAAGATTAAATCTTAGCCTTAAGTGCTACATATCTAACTGGAAGTGCTTCTTTTAATTGCTTGGGACAGGACTAATCTTCGTGGGTCCCTGGAATGAGAGAATGGCTGGTCTATAAACTGCAGTAGAACATCGAATTTCAGAATGTAAATTCAGAAAGGGCTGAAAAATATCCAAGTGGAAATTGTTCATTTTTTGTGGAAATGTTTTCATGTGCTGTGGCAATGATGCTGTATTTTAAAAGGATTTTTGTGTTTCACTTGGTTATTTTCTTCCATTAAAATATCAACAGATCTTTATAATTTATTGTACTTAGGCTGATTACTGTGAACTTTCTTCTTTACAAAATTGTGTCTCAGTGAGCGTCAAGGATTTTTATTTCTTTGTGGTTTTACTTTGTAATTTTGTTGAAATAAACATATCTCTGTTCTATTAGAAAACAAAACAAAAAAAATAGGCATTACAAATAATTCTAAGGATTATTTTTTACAAAAAGACCTATACAGGGGCTGGCCCCATGGCCGAGTGGTTAAGCTCCCGCGCTTGGCTTCGGCGGCCCAGGGTTTTGCTGGTTCGGATCCTGGGTGCGGACATGGCACTGCTCATCAGGCTATGTTGAGGCGGCCTCCCACATGCCACAACTAGAAGGACCCACAACTAAAATATACAACTATGTACTGGGGGATTTGGGGAGAAAAAGCAGAAGAAAAAAAACCCAAAAAAACAAAAATACCAAGAAGACCTATACAAAAGATGAAATTTTGGCAAGTCAAATCAAGAAAAAAAGAGCAACAAGCACAGACGGTGGGGGCATGGTTAGGAGAGATGAAAATTTAAAAGAATAAAAGATAAACATCTACACAAATACTCTAGTAAATGGGTGATTTTCAATGGAAAAAATTGCAAAAATATTAACTCCTTTTAAAAGCCAAAGAATGTTTTTACTTTATCATATCATTATCACTATATCAATTCATTCAACAAATATGTTTTGCTTAGTGCTGTGGCATTTATAAAGGTCAGTGGGACATGATCTCTCCCCTCTTAAAACTTAAAATCTAATGAGATTGTTGTTGATTGATTTATACTCTGTCTTTCTCCCAAGGTGTCTTTTAAAGCTGCGTTATATTAGATCTGAGCTTTTAAAATGAGGCAAAGAGAAAAAAAGGTGATACCAGGAATGAGGACAAAACAACCACAATGCAGGAAAAAATTTTCAGTGTCACAAGTGCAAAATTAAGTGCTCCAGACGATTTCACAGGACATGTTCTTTTGGGCTAAAACAATCAGGGAGGGCTTCCTGGAGGCCAGGAGTCTTCAAGTGAATGATGCTGGCTTTCCAAAGAAACCAGCTTTGTTGGTTCTACCACATTCTTGACCTCTGCTTCCTTGTGTGATTTACATAGCATTGGTGTTAGCTGATTGGCTGATCAATGGTTAGAATGGGTCTGAAGTTGGTTTTCATGAGGATTTGTCAAGGCCCTCTGGCCTTTGTCCACATGTCACTCCTATGACTCTGGTCAACTTTCTTACGTTGTCAACATGTATGTTGAGATGGGGCAGGGCAGAAGAGGGTGTTGAGAGCAGAGTAAAACACAGATCTGACCATGTCACCCTCTTGCTCATGTCCTAAAGTCCAGACTAGGAAGGCTGCCAGGCTTAGCACATTTTTCCAGCATCCTGTCACAAATCCTACAGTGAAGCCACACCAGCTCATTGGGGTGCCAATGGCTCTACCTTCTCAGTTTCTGTCCTGGTGCTGAATCCCTTCAGCTTAGAATCCCTTTTGTTGTTTTCCTAGTGAGCTTCTCTTATTTTTCAGGGGACAGCTCAAATGTCACAGCCTCTTTGAAAATTCCTGGGTAAATACCTCCAAGCTAGAGGACGTATTGCTCCTTCATCAGAATTCTCATAATACTGTGCACACACCCCACTTACAGTTTTTGCCACATGGCATTTTAATTTTATTTATTTGAGTAATGAGTCTGGCTAAGGGTTTGTCAATTTTGCTTATCTTCTCAGAGAACCAGATCTTAGTTTCATTGATCCTTTCTATTGATTTTTTTGGTCCCTATTTCATTTATTTCTGCTCTGATTTGCCACATACCATTTTAGCAAATTGTTTGAATGTTTTATTTTTCCTTAAACCTTCAGATATCTGGAGATTAGGGAATGTATTTTCAATTCATCTAAATTTGGCAGCTATTTATGGAACATATACTATGTGATAAAGACATAGAGGGTGGGGTCACTGAAAAACAATTCCAGCACAGTGAAGTAAGTGGGTAGATGTGTGCATCAGACTATGAGACTATATAGAAGGGGTATTTATGGAGTATTTTCTATGTCCCAGGCTCTACGTTTATGCTGGATATTCAACATTCAGTGAAATGTACATGACTCCTGCTCTCATGGCGCTTTCCTGACCAGGGAAGTCAGGAAAGTAAAATGGAAGTTAGATGGGCTTTAAAGGGCCAAGTGGAGAAAGGAGGAAAGAACATTCCAGGAGAAGGAAGGAGCATGAGCAAAGCTGCAGCTGCATTGGAGAGATACTTAGCTGCTTGTGGCTCTGGGGGATACACAGCTACTGCCGTGTGGCAGCAGTAAAGTGGCATGGGAAGAGATGGAGTCAGAAAGGTGATTTAAGGCTAGGTTGAAAAAAGGATCTTTTATGATATGCCAAGAAATATAGGGGGCCAGTCCGGTGGCATAGTGGTTAAGTTCGTACACTCTGTTTCAGTGGCCCAGAGTTCGCCTGTCAGATCCTGGGCTCGGACCTAGCACCGCTCATCAACCTATGCTGAGGCAGCATCCCACACAGAAGGACAAGAAGAGGTACCTACAACTAGGATATTCAACTATGTACTGGAGCTTTGGGGAGAAAAAAAAAAAAAGGAGGATTGGCAACAGATGTTAGCTCAGGGATAATCTTCCTCAGCAAAAATAAATAAATGAATAAAATATTTATTGTCTTTGATATTGTTAATGCTTGTTTGCTAGCAACCAGTGGTAGGCAATAAAATAATTTAACAAATGACAGTTTAATATTAAAGGCAAACACTAGAAACTGTTGATAATCTCAGCTCAACCACTTGCTTTTTTTGTAGACATAGTTGTGAAGTAGTGAATTTTAATCTTGTAAATATATATAGTATCTATAGTGTATATATAGGATCTACCATAGTCTTATTTTCTGCTAGAAAAATAGCTCAGGGGTCAACATTTCAGGATGTTACACATGGCGTGCCAGGACTTCCAGATGCTTTGATTCCCCTATAATTTTTTTTTTTTCCTGAGGAAGATTGGCCCTGAGCTGACATCTGTTGCCAATCTTCCCCTTTTTGCTTGAGGAAGATTCGCCCTGAGCTAACATTTGTGCCAGTCTTCCTCTATATGTGGGTCACCGCCACAGCATGGCTGCTGACGAGTTGTGTAGGTCTGCACCCTGGGAACTGAACCCAGGATGCTGAAGTAGAGCACACCGAACTTAACCACTAGGCCATGGGGCTGGCCCCTATACACTTTTTTAAATAGCACCTTTATTGAGGTATAATTCATATACCATATAATTCACCTATTTAAAGTGTACAGTTCAATGGTTTTTAGTATATTCACAGAGTTGTGCAAGTATCACAACAATAAATTCCCGTGTAAATTTGAGAACCACTGACCCAGCAATGGGGAGCCACTAACAGTTCAGTGAAGGGGAGCGACATGTATAGGCAGGGGTGAAACAAGGGTTCCTCTTGTCGCACTAAAGTCAAACTAGAAGCAGAGGTCAGGTCAGTTACTGTAGTGTCTTAGGCTCACACTGGAGTGTTAAGAACGTTGACTCAATCAGCTGGATAAGGTGGATAAGACTAGATGTCTACAATGAGGAGAAAAAATTTTAGTTGGAGGGGCTGACTTAGTTGCTAATCATTAGAAAGAATTAGGTAAGATCCAAAAGGATCTCTCCATTTCCCAATCTCTAAAATGCCCTGGTTCGGTGATCAGATCAGTCCATGACTGTGATGACAGCCTCGTTCAGGGTGGCTCTGGTCTAAGAGTGTAAGTTCCATCTCTGTACAGGCTGTCCAGCACAGCAGCGCTGGTGTGCGTGCTTGTGTGTGCCAACACCAAACAAATGATTAAAAATGTGTAATGAAAGTCTGGGATAGTGTAGTATTGAAGCTCGTGGCAATAAAGCTAGGCTGCCTGGGTTCCTGTCCTGGCTTGGACAAGACCTTCACATTATCAGTTCTCTTATTTTTAACAGGTTTTTTCAGAGGATCTAATGAATTAATATGAAGTCCTTAGAAAATGCCAAAGAAATAGACAAAGAAATCTTCTAGTTGATTAAAGAGTTGTTACAAGAACAAGATTTACCTATAAAGCTGAACAGATTCCTTTACACACCTACACAAAAAGAGGCTTGTGTTTCTCATTTCAAATGAAAAAGGCTATTCAACTATCGCTTGTGTGTAACAATCATGAGCTATTATGAAATGTCATTAAACAAAATTAGGTCTAATTGAAGTCACGTGAACTAACACCAGTCAAATTAGCAGCTGTGGTGTGGCCTGGAACTCAAACCCAGGCAGAGCTCTGAGGGGCTGAGGCTCGTGGGGAGGGGTGTGTGTGTGTGTGTGTGTGTGTGTGTGTACAGCCACTATCGCTCATAAGATTTGAAATATCCAAATTCAACCATGCAGTAAACTTTATCAAAATTCCACTAACTTAGTCAAGATGAAGTCTCACTGAGCTGGATTAAAAATTATTGACCTATTGAACTATTCCTCCTCCTTGGTTCAAAAATAGCACTTCTTGATCCCTAGCTCCTACGTTTGAGTTCTCTTTTCAACTTTTTTTTTTTTTGGTGAGAGAGATTAGCCCTCAGGGACATGAATGGAAAGAACCAAGACTTGCCACATTCCTGCAGTGGGTCTCAATGCCTATGACACTTGGCGGGCCAAGCAAGGTAGGGCTAAGGCGAGGAGCAACTGGGCCAGAAAGAGTCCCATTTCCTGAGTGGGTTAAGGATGTAGGCTTGCCAAGTCACATAAGGGTGTCTAGATCAGAGTATTTTAAGTTCTAATTAAAATGAACTTAAAAAGTGAGAAAAAGGAATATTCATTCAGCTGATGACAATAGTTTTTCCTGAACTGATGGTCCAGGGAGAATCACATTGATGTTTCTTTCTGGAAAGAGACAGACTATGTTCACCTGCACAGGAGTAGCCGTGCCCTCAGTGTTTGGATGTTGACTGAGTTCTCCTTAGTTTTCCACCCAGTCTGACCCTAACTGGTTGTATGCCAAATATGAAATCTCCGTGAGACTTGATTTTGTGAGGAAAGGAGAGGGGAGAAAGGAGAAAAACATACCAATAGCATCAAGTTGGCTTCAGATCTTCAGGACGGAAAGTGATAAAATGCACAACGTTACTAACAGGTGGCAGACAATGAGGGGGAAAAG